TTCTTCAATCTCGTATTTTTTTGTTATCTTAGATCCTAAAGTTATCGACTTGTTCAAATGTATTTCCTTTAACATCTACATCACCTAAATTTACAGTATTTATTTCGAGCCCCAGTTCTTTAACAGCTTTTATTAACAATGTACTATAAATGCAAGAAAATTAATAAATAAAGAATTTGAACAATTCTTAGATATATTTTTAACCTAATACTGTACTTACAATATCAGTACGATTGACCAATTTTATCATCTTTCAAGATAGATAATAAATTATTTAATCGAATATAATTTTTATGTGGAACAAAGAAATCATTTAAAATATTTCTAGCGACTATTTTCTTATCTCGATGGAAAATGGAGAAGTTGAATAACAGATGAGCGAACTGATTATAGCCCGAGGGAACGATTTTTGAATTTTTCCAATTCCCTGGAGGGCTCCTTCTTTATCGATTTCCGTTTTCCGCTTACTCTTTTTTCTTTTATAGTAGATAAAATTTAAAATAAATTTAACTCTGGATCAAAAGTGCAACTGTTGGTTCAGTAAAATATCATAATACCTCACGTAAAGTTTTCTCTATATATCATTAAACTTTTACTTTAAGTTACCCATGTATGAAATATTTAGTAAGGGAAAGTATTGTGATCGTGAAAAAATTCGAATTGAATTTTTCAATGAAATTACATCATTTAAAAAAAACTAAATGAACTAAATTCATGATAAGTTTAAGTCCATCGATTCCAAAAGCCATCAGTGATTCAATCGATGTACAAAGGAATGCATTGAATTCCATCGATGCATGTAATACTGGCGTAATGGATGTACAATACTATAAATGAACTCAGCGCTTAGTTTAGGAACTCGTCCATGTTATTTACCTAGTTAATATTAGTTCAAAGCTTTCCGAATGCAATATAATATATTCAATCCAAAATTTTTAATTAATTCTCTAATAACATAAAATCAATTTTATGTACCTCAAAAGTTTTTATTATATTTATTCAAAAGAAATATTTAATGTAATTCCTGAATTATTAATGCTTTTCAACTATAAAAAAAAAATCAAATATATGTAAAACAGTTATAAATATATTATAGAAGATGAACATTGTGATAAGTAATCATTATGTTATTATTAAGTGTTATGTATTTCAACTAAATTACTTGAATATGATAAATGGTTATATCTAAAAACGAATATAAAATTGTTGTTGAGTCTGAAAATCATTAAATTAATTGTAAATTTAAAAAGAAATCAATTGAAAAATATTTAAGAATGTCATAAATAAATTAAAAATGCAAAACTTACAGCTGAATGTTCTAATATGGCTTTCATTCTTCACTACCATGCCTTAAAACGGGTGGATTTCAGAACGGATTTTTAATAATACAATAATTTAAAATTAAATAAACTTAAAACAGTTAATTTAATCACATTTCTAACACTTCTCACATATTTAAACTAAAACAAACCTCTGGAGACCGAACGGCGCCAAAACTAGATTAATTAATAGAGACAGAAGCCGTGCACTGCTAAACTGTGACAACAGCCAACTTAATCAGAAGAACACTGCAACCTGATTGGCCGAGGTGCAATCTGATGGTGTAAACTCTGGATAGTGTGATTCAAATAAGATAAATTTCGGGAAAATAACTTTCACCTTCCAACAGGAAACTTGCCTTTTCGTTAAAACTTGATTTTAGTATACTTTTTGAGCGATGAGATCCCTCATCCAGCTTCTTTTGAGCTTGCTTATCATGTTTTGGAGGCATATTGTTTGGAGCCATATCTTGTATTAGCATGTTTGTATGTTCATCTACCGTGTTACCGTTGGAATGCCTAGGTCTTTATGAAAAGTAATGTCTATGAAGTACCAAGTAGCTTTAGTTATAGTCCTAAAGGCTTTTGACTGAGAAGTTTGTTGTTCTCCAATGTGGATCTTTTTGGATGTTCCGTTTATCTATGAAGCGTAGGTCAATTTAGTAGGTAAATAAGAACGCTTTGCCAGATCGGATGGAATTTAAAAGGTAAGAAAATTCCGGATGAGAAATTAATTCATGAATTTAGAACTTATTTAATATAATACATATTTTAATATATATTTAATATATACTTATTTAATAATTTAATTTTTATTTTGTTCTTTTTATTGAATGAGAAATATTCAACAAAATTATTTTTGAAGGTTTCCTTTTTTATTCCCTTCTATCGATATCCCCCTATATCGGGACCGAACTAAGACCGAAGATATCCGATAAAGTTTTTTCCTAACCTCATTTAGGGCAACCCTGTCTTCTTTCTCCTGGATACAACTTGATTATTTTTATTAATTTTTTGTTGGTAGCTTTCCCTGTATTATTCGTTGTTCCTTAGCCGTTATGTTGTATTGTATTCAGCATTGGTTTTTTTGTATATAATTTTTAAAAAGTTGTATTATTATTATTTTTTTAATGGGTAATATAACATTCTATCATAATACTGTCGATGGTTATAGTGAGGAAAGAGTACATAAATAAATAAATTTATCACACCAAATAAATAAATAAAATAGAACAGAAACAGAAGCTAAATAACAACTAAAAAATACTCAAGTGTATATACCACATGGGGAAAGGGGTGGGGAGAAATCTTCTTATCACTAAATACCGCAATACCTAACCTTAATGCAATGATCCAAATTGGACTTTAAATATAAATAATTAGCTTCATTATCGATTTAAAGTTTCCATTGTTTTCTAAATTGAAGAACAATGCCCTCTATTGACAACTGTAAGAACAAAGTCCTCAAAATAAAATTTTAAAATAAATATCATTGTTATTTGTATAGTGCTCTTGAGATCAGTGTGTTTCATACCTTCCTACTAACAGTTTTGCTAAGAATAAGTTTAACATTTATCTTATCATTATAATGAAATAAAGATTTTAGAATTTTTCTGAGGTGTGTTTATTATTGGTACCGACCCTCTGTCCATTACTAGATCAATTTCGGGGTGTCACTAGTGCAAAAATGTTTTTAGTTTTTTTAATGGAGATTATACTTGCATATATGAATATTTTTTTTATTTTAAAGTGTTAAATAGAAACAGGAGACTCTAGAGATTCTAAATGTACAACGGTGAAGTTTATAACTATAATAATTACGGCGGCATAAGTCAAAAAAGACTAAAATTTCCTTAGCTATGTCTATCTCTGGTGTGCTTACACTACTATTTTTTATTAATTATGCTATTTTTATTAATAAGTAAATACACACCCATATACATATTTTCAACTTCCAATTTATTTTTTTTCAACGTTTTTGATTTTCAATTTTTTGCAACTCAAATAATTGAAAATTAATTAATTATAGAGCTATACTACTGAATTTATTTTATACAATAAATAAAAATAAAATAAACTCAAAGATAAGTAAAATAAAATAGCACAGACATACCTGTAGTATACATTATTTACAATCAGGCAAGGCATCTCCGAACCAGGATTATTCCTTCAACTATGGAAGGAAATGCAGGACTCTAAGAAATCACTGCGCTATTTTCTCATCCGCATCACAGTATTAAAAGCCAGTGGAGATTAATCAAGAGCTAAATTAATGATTTCTAATCACTTTGCCACTCATTATGGACAATTTTTCAAATTTGATTTATGATATTTAAAATTGAATTTATAAAAACAAAAATACATCTAGTTAATGTGAACAAATAAATAAACATGATAACACTTGTTGAGAAACGACCCACTGGTAACACTAAAAAAAGATCTGATGCGGTGTGTCACACAACTTTTACTTACCACCCACTTCTTAGCAGAAAGAAGTATTTTCAGACTAAGGGGAAGAGAAAGTAAAAATTATAGAAGCTATACTTATTTATATTTCATTATGAGTATTTTTATTGGTATTAATACCTGATATATATTCAAATTTTAATAATTATATCGCTGTAATCTACACAATTATATATTAAATAATACCAACAATAGCATATATGAGAACTGCATTTGTATATTTATTGAATATCATCAGAGTCCGTATTATATTAAGCTTATGTTACATATGGAAGCGTGTTATAATATTTTGGGCGAGCTTGGATGCTCTCGTATTGCTTTGCTTCCTCAATTAGAACTATTCTCCGTTACGATCTATTATTTCTTATTTATTTAGTTATCAAATTCTTTCATATTGTATATTTAACTATCTTTTATATTATAAATTAATGTGAAATGGTCAATTGTTTCAAATAAAAAAAAATTAAAGGTACTTTAGAGGAAGCTGATATTGAAAATTAACCATTTAAGTCCTGTTAGAGAACATCAATCAGAAAAAAAAATTACATTTTATTTAAAACTGCTTAATTTTTTCTGATATAATGAATTTAATCAAAATCGTTAGAGCCGTTTTCGAGAAAATTGTAAAAACGTGTTTAGACCAAGATATAAAATGCCACTTCCGGTTAGCCGATTTTGAAGAAAAATTTACAGTAACATCCCTAGCATATAAAAACGTTAAACATGCAATTTTACTTTCGTACGACTTTTCGTTTTTGAGCTAGGCTGTTAACACACACACACACACACACCATTTTGCGGGACTTGGTTATTTGGGCTAAGGAGACCTCAAAACGTGTATTTCCGTTGAAAACTAAGATTAGAAAATTTTCACAATCGCAATACTTTCCTTTACTATATATTTTATAGATAGATAAGTGAATGTAAAAATTAATCCGGAAATCAATTACTTTATAAGAATGGTCTTCCGATTTTTTTAACACCATAAAATAATGTACTTATTGTATATTAATTAAATGCCCTAATTTTGAACAAATATATTAAATTTTACAAAAAGAAGAACTACATGGAATCGCTCAAATGCTGACTATGGTATACATCGAAGTCCAAAAAACTTCTTCACTACAGTATAGATAAATTTAAAAGTAGCAGAGATCACAAAAATAAATTGTAATATATAATATCATCAGTTTTATTTTATTTTATTTTGTACAGATGGAAGCAGCACACCGAAAGATATGGAGTCCGAAACAGCCATGTTTGAGAGGCCAGTCGTTGAGCAAGGTAATATTTTAAACATGTATTATGCAGATATTAATATTTTAATATGATTTATTAGAGTGAGAAAATAAAAAAGTGTGCTTTAAATTTTTAAAACCCTGAACTTTGAACATTTCTGGTGAAACAAATTTTAGCCGCTTCAGTGAGTTTTTAATTATAAAATATTTATATATTTTCTTCAACATTTATATGAAAGAATCATTCATTATTCAAGCGGCAGTAGGCAATGGTCGTGAAATATTTCGATCTTACAGGATTATTTTAATCATACAATCAACGAAAAAACTTCACATTGATTTTTCAAAAATCAGATTCATATTTTAAATTTTTCGTCATGTCTGTAATAATGAAAGTGGATTTTGGGACAATATGGAATGAATATGTTCAGAAAAAAAAAATCTCTTTCAATGTGCTAGTTTATTAATATCCGCCTGAAACTTCGTAAATAGTTTCATCTCATCGTAACCTACAACTATTTTTTTAAAGAAAACTTTTGGAATTGGGGCGTTTTTAATCTGGAGGGAGGCAAACTTTGTCTATTTGATTTGGTACTAAAAAGCTCTTAAATACGCTTTGCTTTCTACTTGGATCGTAAGATAATTTCATTACAAAATAGATTAAAATGGTTCCCTACAAAAATATTGAGACGTATGCAATATATAACCTCATGGTTTTGTAATTTTGGCGGAGTAGGTCACGCCAAACGGTTCAATATTTTTCAAGGCACCTTTTTTCTCGAGTTTGTGCTCAAATTAGTTTTTAATACCTAATTAAATAGAAAATGTTTGACTCCCTCCATTTCGTAAATAACATAGTTGTAGGTTACGATAAGGGGAAGCTATTTACGAAGTTTCAGGCAGATGTTAATAATTCGATAAAAAGGGGTCTGTGCCACGGACTATCCAGTTGTTCTGGCAAAACGTGGTTATATAGATAAGTACGAATTACATGAGTAATTTCTAAGTGCACATAACAGACACTGCATATATAATTTACAAAAAAAAAAAAACACACAAAAAAACACGTCTATCCGTGGGAAAACACGATTTTTTTCTACAAGAATTTTTAAATTTAAATTTCTACAAGGTTTTTCTCGGGCCAGAGGAGAGGATGGGGTATTAATGACAGAGTTATAAGAGCAACGCGTATTGTGCCACGCTCTTCCAACCCAATCCCACCTCCTCAATAAGCATGAATTGCTGCACAAATTGAGTTCTTGTGTCGATTAAGAAAACATATAATTAATTCACTGTTATCATTGTATTCCCTTGTCAAAAATCAATTTTTATTTAGCCGCGTTTACACACTATTCAAGTCATTGAGAGTTTTTAAGAGCGATATTGAGCTTGTTGAATTGAGTACTTAATGGTTCACCTTAAAATAATATTGAAGAAAGAGTCGGAGGTGGATAGAGGAATATTCAAGGTATTTAGGAATTTAGATAATTAAAATTATTTTCCTATTGAATATTAAATAGTTGACCGTTGCATTATAAAGGAAGGAGATGGTCCGGGGTGGCGGTCATAAATAGACTAAAATAGTGGTAAAACTATTTTATTAAAAGCCTTTTATTTTATTAAAAGGCTTTTATTTTATTAAAAGGTTGTTAATAAAATAGTTTTACCACTATTTAGCCTATTCATGACCGTCACCCCGGACCATCTCCTTCCTTTATTTTTCTATTAATTATACAATGATTCAAGAAATTATTTAGGAAACGAATTTTATTATATTCATTCAATTTTGTTTGTAGATATTAAACCTCAAACCGAACCACCAGAACGAGAGCCACCTATGTTGCTAGTACATATGGTTGATGAAGGTAAATATATTTTAAATTTACATTAATCTCATAACTATTATATATATATATATATATATATATATATATATATATATATATATATATATATATATATATATATATATAAAGATAGATAGTAATAATTGTATGTTATATATTAATTAATATATATAAATATAAATATATAAATCGCGATGTTTAGCCGTTCTGTTATTTTTCCAATTTTTTTTATTCTATTAGTTTAATTGAAAAATAAAACCACTTCACCCAAAAGCAATTAAAATAATAAAGATTTATATTAACACATGTTAAATTTATTCATACACTTCCTGGACAGGATAAATGATTATTAACTGACGTTCATGATAAAATTATTATAAAACTTATGATATAATGCATATTATGAATATATTTATTATTTTTTATTTTTAGGCGCTAAACAAAATCCTCAACCAACAGAGACAGAACGACCAATGTTGTTACTACAGAGTGTTGGTGAAGGTAAATATATTATAAATTTACATTATAGCGATTGAATATTTTGATAATAAATAAAGATCCATTTTATATCATACATGGTCGATCCAATAATAAAACTATGAGTGTGAAAAAAAGTTTTACTTATGTGGATGACTCTAAGGAAAAAACTCAAAAATTTAATGAATGAATCTTTGCGAAACATTCTGAAAAGAAATTATCGAGGGATCTGTAGTTACTAATTAATTATTTTTTGAAAAGTTTTAAGCTAAATTCCAAAATTTATGACAGATTTTTGTTCACGAAGAACCTATGGACATTTTTATTGCAAAAAGTAGCAATGTAAATAATTTAACCGGTACATTCATTTAAAATAAATAAATAATAAGGCTTAGCATTCATTTAATTTAAATATTTTTTAATTCATTTATTTAAAGGCATTCATTTAATTTAAATATTTTTTTTTATTACTAAATAATGAAATATTAAATGTTTTACTTTCTACCGCTATTAGGTAAGGAAATTATTGCAATCGAGTGAAATTTTGGATTTGTGAACTCAATATATTATAACGTTTCACAGAGACCCCTGAGTATAAAAAACCAATAAACAAAAGATTTCATCTATTGGTCAGTCGCCGATTTTTTTTTTTTTTAATTTTATTTATTTATTTTTTTTTATGGTATTGCTCTTTGAAACGTTGTACCAAATTGGGCATCCTGTATTTAACAAATAATGGTTGCTCAAGCGAATCCAGCATTTCATTTTTTTTTTTTTTTATTGGGGGGCACGCACTTCAGCCCAAAACCTTTTTTTTTCTATATTCATAACGATAATTATTTTGGAAGAATAATAAAGAAACTAACTACTTATATGAAATTGTATTTATGTGATTCTTGAAGTCCTATTAAATGTATAATTTACTCGAACAATAATAGTTTTAGAGATAATTTTTAAATATTGTTTTCATAAGAAATGGATATATTTTACCATTTTGGGAGAGGGGGAAGGCTTTCGGGATGAATCACCCATATAAGCAAAAAATGTATTTTAATAAAAAAACTGTAGCGCTAAAACGGTTCAATCGATTTTTATGAAATTTATATGTCTTCGCCTTAATCCCTTTGAATTTGTATATATTTATAAGAAATAACGACCGGAGAGTTTAGACGGTTATACAACGCCGAATCGCGTGAACTCTATCCGGTTAATATAATTGATTGCGAATCAAATGGGCTTATAAAATTGTTGAGCTTAGTAAGGAAAGAATTGCTAAAAAGTTAATATTTGCTGTACCGAATGGTAAACGTCCGAAGGGTAGACCGAAGCGAAGGTGGGAAGATTGCATTAAAGCCGATCTGAAGGGACTGGGTTTCGAGGGTGAACGGTGGAGGGAGCTGTGTAACAAGCGATTGGTGGTGTCGGCATCGAACCTTCGGGTTCGCTAAGCCTTTCGTTATTATTATATGAAATAACCCGAATATGATTCCTTGATTTTTTAAAGCTAAGGGAACTTTTTAAACCTCTTTTTTTAAAAATAAGATATTACTTTATGGTTTTTTCGTATATATACTTCAATAAAATTGTATTTATTATTATATTAATTCTTTATTTGTTTTTAGGTACTAAACATCAGCCTGGTACGACAGAGGGAGAACCAAACATTTTAGTCTTGAAACAAGTCGGAGATGGTAAAGTTATTTTAAATTCCATCATAACCTTTATTTCATTGTTTGATGTTGTATTTACTTTTGTTCTATCCCTGATACATTTAAAGGTTTTTTCCTCAGTTCCTCTGTTCTTATCAAATCATTGTTTTGTGGTCGTTGATCAAATAATGTGACTCTCTTCTTTCTCTTTACGTTTTTTTCTAAATTTACCTTTTTTTTTTTGTTCTTTTTTTGGCTTTAAGATTTGTAAAAGCAATTCCTATTTTGCCAGTAAAATATTTCAATTGTCATAATGAAATGAAATTACATTGGATTTATATTAATTATTTATAGTTAGATGATCACTGAAAGTAACTTATATGGAACTTGTATATTAGATATTATGGAAACTAGAAAGACTAATGGTTAAAAACTGAGATGAATTAGAATTACAATTAACTGAGAATAAGTGCCGACTTTTATTATATGACTGCTTTTATGTCATTCATGAACTTTATCAAGTCACGGCCGTTATCTTTGTTCATCGACCGAAGAAAGTTAGCTCCATCATCCGTAGTTTGCGATCCTGAACTAATTCTTCTTCGCTTCTCGAACCTTTTGCACTTGAAGCCAATGTGTCTTGGATCCTCCTTATTTTAGCCGGATAAATTCCCGAGAAAATTTAGGAAAAAATTTTATAAAGAAAAGAAAAATGTTTGGGGGCTTAACTCGATACACTGTTTAGCCATTTTTTTTTTTGGAAGGTAATGAAATTTCCTACAAAACTATATAAAAATCGTTCATTTCGGACAACTATTAACGAAGTTACAACTATTCAATTTCCAATGTAAGATTACGGGTTCATATCCTGGTGTTATAAAAGGGTGAATGAGAGAAAAAAGATGACTAAGTGAAAGCAAGAAAATCTGTTGCCCGCATCACACAAGCTTCACTATTTCCTCTACTTTTAACAGAAATTATTTTTTGACAATACTAAGCTATGGCAAAAAGTTTTTGATCAGTAATATTAGAGAGTATTGAAATTTTTACACTGATCTACCTTAATAAGCCGGTATACATTGCTTTAGTTTATAAAAAAAAATCGTACTCATATCTTTTATTTGATCAATTTTCAGGAAAATAAATCTAATTCAATTTATTTCTAGTTTCTTGATGGACATATGTAAAGATATAGAAACTTTTCTGAAATAGGTAGGAAAGTCGTGTGAGTGGACACATAAGATTTTTTTTAAGTATAAATTTAAAAATCCCTTTAGGCAAAATAATTTAAAACATTAAATAATAAAAAAAATATCTATGACGAAAAGTATTGTAAATAATTTATATTTTATATTTGAAATTTATTTTTAATATACATATATATAATTTTATATTTTAATAATTATATTTATTCTTTAATTTTTTTGTAGTTACTAATCATGAGCCTGGGCCAACAGAGGGTGGAAACAATATGGAACCAAGTATCATGTTGTTAAAACCAGTTGGAGAAGGTAGAATTCTTTCAAATTTAATTCATGTCATTAAATATATATCTATATATACATAGTTCTGCCATAAATACTGTTACAAAAGTTGAACTTTGTTTATTGTTAATAATACCTGTTAATATAATTGTTAATAATAATATAAAAGAATGATTTTCAGACATTATAATAAAAAATATTAATAGGAACGGTGTGCAAAATAAATCGTTGCTTGGCAACCTTACAATCACAAGTCGAAATCCCGGCGCCCTGTGACTTTATCCCTGGCAACAATTGCAATAACATTTTTCTAAAAATCGACTTACCGGAACATCGATTTTACATATCCATAAAAATTTAAAAACATTATTTTTTAATTAAACAAGTAATATTTTGTAAATTCTATCTCTTAGTCCAACCAATAACAATTATTTGAAGATTTCCTTAAGTTATTATATATTTATTTTTACAGGTTCGAGCTGTGAAAGAAAAAATGAAATATCGGAATCAGCAACTCCAGAAGGTGATTTTTAAATTTATTAATTATTTTTTTAAAACTTTAATACAAGATATATAATTGAAGTAATTATCTAGGTAGACATGATTATTATAAGATTATAGTCCGTGGTAAAGACCCCTTTTTATCGAATTATTAACATCCGCCTGAAACTTCGTAAATAGTTTCATCTCATGGTAATCTACAATTAATTTATTTGCTACTCTCTTGGAATAGGGGCTTTGATCGTAAGATAATTGAGAAAAAAGGTTGCCTACAAAAATATTGGGCCATTGGTCCTATATAACCTTGTTATTTTGAAAATTTATGGAAGTAGGTCACGCCAAACGGCTCAATATTTTTGAAGGCCACGTTTTTTCACGATTTGTGATGAAATTATCTTACGACCCAAGAAGAAGGTATAAGTTTTCTTTTAGATAATTTTCTCAATTACCTGACAAACAACAGCTCATGTGAATATAGCTGCCTCTCTAATTGCTTGTATTTCTTTTTCAGAGTGTGCCAATGAGGGGAGAAACGAAGGGTCAGAAGGTAAGGAAGGGTTCAACTTACATTATTTAATATAATTATTGATGTATGCACCATCCACCCTCCCTTGCCTACTAGGCAATATATCTTTTCTCTTGTTGGCATACTTAGCGTTTCTTCTCTATGATCCTATATGCTCAGATGACACGAATCAATGTCGTCAACTGGATCGTTGCCAACCTATTCCCTTGTCTTTGAGGAAAATTTATTATTATTTAAATTTTTTAAAATATTTTCAAGAACGGCAAAAACAAAAATTTTAACACCAGGAGAATTTTTGACAGCTAAAAAAAAACCTTTTTTGGTTTTTATTTTGCACTTACAACCAATGTTATGTTGCAGTGCAACCAAATGAAAAATTGACTATAATAAATTAAAACAGGTTAAATTTTGCATCGAATGAAAACATAAACTTAATAATTTGGTTCAGTCTAAGAGTTTTTGAGCTAATTTTGATAATGTTAATGACAGTTTAACATGTTAAAATAAAAAAAACAAATGAACTAAAACAACTATTGTTGACCGGTGAATATTGTTTTTAAGGTTATTATGGTTTTATAAATGGGCTAATGTCTAATAGCAAATCCTCTGAAAGATTTTTGTATATGTTTTTTCAGATGAAAATTTAAATTATATGTAAAATCAGATTATCCCTGAAGATGCGTGAAGAGGGGAAAATTTAGATAAATTTGAAATAAAGTAATTATTTATCAAGACTGAAAAGGATTTTTCTTCTAATTACAGTTAACTGTACATATGGAATTAGGTAAATAATAATGTATGTATATTTTTCTTTTCAGAAAACGCCGGCGAAACGAAAAAAGAAGAAACACAACCGACTATGATGTTTGTTCGAACCGTTCCAAATGGTAAGGTTTTTGTTATTATAATTATATAATTTAAATTTAGATAAATAAAATAAAGGTTTTATCCGTACAGTGAATAGAATCAACCCATTTCATACATTACTGACACCAAATCCACTTTGAATTTTTTTACTCTGTCTGTATGCCCGCATTGTCCAAGGAAATTTTGACATTTTATTTAGGTTTGCTTGACTTAAAACATAGGCTTTAAATGAAAACAAAACATTGAGTAGAACCAAAGTTATGAATTCTTGAGTAATTGGTCTAGAGATCCCGGTTAGGCAGTTACTTCGATTATCATTCCAACCTACTCTATCGTGAGCCACATTTAAAAGTTGTACTATTCAACTGATGGAAAAAATAATCACAATTCAAAAGGAAAAATCCGGAATACCGAACATCTGTAACGCGTTGTCTCTTAAAAAACGGGTAAAACACACTAATTTTTCAACTTTGTCTGATCTTCCCGTTCAAGGTGTCGTTTGATTCAACTTCTTGAGCCTAACAAATGTTCCCGTATACAATTTTAGGATTAACCAAACAATTAGCCGGAAATCGCAAAAAAAAAAAAAATACAAATTTTGTTTTGCTGTTTTTTATACAAATAAGTGGAGAGACGACAACTCATTTTGATTATTTCAATCGACTCCACAATCTCCTCGCTTCATCATTCATGAAAATTAAACACTTAACAAATTTTAATGGATCGGTGGTGGTCGGTTATGTTTTGTGGTACCTAAACAGCCGAATACCAATTTTTTTATTATGACTATTGCGAAACCTTGACTTCCATAAGCCCCCATAAAAAAATTTAAAACAACTCCTCTCCACCCGATTTTCTGAAATTTAATTATGAACTCCCCTTCCATAATACAAAATACAACTCAAAAAAAGATTCTCAAATTTTAACTATACACCCGTCAATGAAGAGTACATATATAGTATGTTATATATATTTGAATATAATAATCTCAAACTAGGCCTGATAATAGTAATATATAAATTTGAGTAACTGGAATATAATGTTTGACAGATAACGCAGGTGAAACGAAAAAAGAAGAAACACAGCCGACTATGATGTTGGTTCGAACCGTTTCGAATGGTAAGTTTTTGTCATTATAATTATTTAGTTTAAATATTATATATATATTTCAACATAATAATGTCGAACTAGGCTTGATAATAATGATGCATAAGCTGATCCGCACAAACCTAATATGTATATCTGATTTTAATACATTAAGGACTCAGAGCACAACTTCCATTCAATAATGTTTGATACGCAATGGTTTAATACATATATTTAGTGAGCCATCAGTTATAAAAATGATTTTGATTCTGCCATGGTTTGACCATTCCTTTTCCTTAATCTTATAATTTATGTATTAGCTTTTTCCTTTATAAGATTATCCATAAATTAACAAAAGCTTCTAACACATTGCTTTACACACCTGATGGCGACAAAAGACAAAAGGTCAAATTCTCAGGTAGAAATAGTACAATCAGTATGTATGTTACTTTATCATTAAAAAAAAAAATCGAAAGTGTGTTTTTAAAATAATAAACTTCAATAATAATGATATAAAAGAAAAAACTAAAGAAATCGAAGCACATTAACAAACATTCTAAAAAGTGTTTTGAGAAAGATAAGTTTATATAAATAAAATGTTTTCAAATTAAAAACATAATTACTAATTGATGCATTTAATACTGTAAACCGGAAAAAAGGGAGCGATTCCAAAAATATTAAATTCTCTTTAAACAACAAAATCATTGCAGTACCACAAATACTAAATGTTCAAAACGCTATAACTCTACAACAAATTGTCAAATTTTTTTTTTACGTTTTGTAGAGAATTTTGTAAGCTTTTAGATGTTCATCTCAACCTTTCATTGGTGTACTTTTCGAGTTATTTGCAAATTATGAATTCATTTGTATAAACTCAATTCGTTGAGACGGCAACATCAAACGGTTTGAAACCTCCCACTCTTACATTCACTTTTATTTAAATCCAGATATAAAATTAGGAATCAAAATTACGATTCACGCACTCTACGTGATATTCCTTTTCTATTGATACCTCATTCGTCAAAATCCATCATTTCTTAGAGCCGGAAATAGGATATATATTTGAGAAATAACATATAAGATTGGTATCCTAAATTTAAGTAACTATGATATAATGTTTGACAGATAACGCAGGAGAAACGAAAAAAGAAGAAACACAACCGACTATGATGTTAGTTCGAACCGTTCCGAATGGTAAGGTTTTTATCATTATAATTATATAATTTAAATATTTTATATATATTTGAATATAATAATCTTGTGTTATGAAACACAATAAGATTCCTTGATTGTATTCCTCTAAAAACCAGACAGCTCCTTGTAACCTCCCTTATATTCGTGCACTTCGACTACGGCTGTTTGGTGTATGGAGAGCTATCTGCCAAGCTAGAAATGAGACTGAAGAAACTCATGAACTGTTTCATAAGATAAATCTTCGGGATCCCCTGGCGTTCACATGTTTCACTCTGGTACACTGAGTTGAAGTGGCTTTATCCTACTTCCTGACGACAATTCCTCCTTGTTGTTTTCCTTTTCCAAGTCTTCAGAACCGGAAACCCTCCCTACTTTCTGGAACTCCTTACTCTACGTTCCTCTATCCGTTCTCTTAATACCAGGTCTTCCCTCCCATAAAACTACTTCATTCAGCAAATCCTTCGTGATATCTCCTTTTGGAACTCTCTTCTTACCTCCATATGTGAATCCTCCTCAATAAATTCCTTCAAACAACTCCTGTTCCACCACCTACTCCACATTCAAACTTCCGCTAACATATAAAATTACTTGTATCTGTATACTCTTTAATTTCAATCTATGCACAATTGCAATAACAAAAAGGAGTTAATTAGTTTGTATTTTTTATTATTTTAAGCCAGACTAATACCATAAGTATTTTTTTATTTTTTTTTTATTTCTTTATGACATTTATAACTGTATTACATAAATACATCAAGTAACATATAAAACTACATGTATCTGCATACTGTTTAATTTCAAACTATGCACAATTGCAATAACAAAAAGGAGTTAATTAGTTTGTATTTTTTATTATTTTAAGCCAGACTAATACCATAAATATTTTTTTTTTTATTTCTTTATGGCATTTACAACTGTATTACATAAATACATCAAGCAAATTTGGACATAATTGATATAATGACATGAATACACTTGCTGAGTAACTACCCAATGGTAGGACTCTAATGGTATGTCTACATTAGGAGATCACGGGGCCATCTTCTTTTCAGACGCCTCGGAGGGTTATCAGGAATTGAAGAGGAAGCAAGGTTAGAAACGAGAGGGTTGGGATGATTCTGAAGTTTATTATGGAAGGATAGGTATCTGGATTGGGCCAGATCTGAAACATAAGGAACATTAAGATCTTTATGGATAATTTTATTAGTGACAAAGTAAGGAGCATTGAGGATTTTACGAAGGATTTTGGATTGTAAGGATTGGATGCGAGAGGAATTCGATGGTTTAGTGGAGCCCCATAGCTCAACTCCCTAAGTCCAAATAGGTCTTATTATAGTCATGTAAATGAGTCTTTTGTAATTAATGGGAAGTTTAGAGCGATTGTCTAGTAAGTGTTGGAGTAATCGGAAACGTCGAGCGGTTTCTTTTCGTTTCAGTCTAGTATGAGGATTCCAAGTTAGTCGTTTGTCCAGGTGGAGTCCTAGGTATCGGATTTGCTCAACAGGGATAAGTGGAGTATTGTTAAAGGAAACTGTAGGACAGGAAGTCGTTGGTTTACGACGCCATAAGTATTTAACACTGTTATTATCCTTAGGGGACTGTAGTCCCAGAATAAAATTATTTTTTCATTTAATTTAATTTCATTCATTTCTTTCATTTAATAATCTCGAACTAGGCCTGATAATAGTAATGTATAAATTTGAATCCTAAATTTGAGTAACTCGAATATAATGTTTGACAGATAACGCAGGTGAAACGAAAAAAGAAGAAACACAACCGACTATGATGTTGGTTCGAACCGTTCCTAATGGTAAGGTTTTTTTTCATTATAATTATATAATTTATATATATTTCAACATAATAATCTTAAATTATCCTAATACGGAATCCTAAATTTGAATAACTGAGATATAATATTTGACAGATAACGCAGGTGAAACGAAAAAAGAAGATACAATGATGTTAGTCCACGCTATTCCAACAGGTAATGCTTTGTTTATTATTATTATTTATTTAAACATGTTTTAAACATTTTATATGTTACTAGGTTTAGATAATTAATGCTATGAAAGAGGTATATTTCAATCACAATAGTATTTTATTAAGTATGGTAAAGAGTGTTGTTTATACTTTCACTTATTACGTATGAAATATATTGTCGACACCAGGTTAAATTAACGAATCATAACATTCGTTACTTCAGTGATGGACATAGCAAAGGGAATTTTTGTCTTTTTTTGCTTATGCCGCGGTAATTATTATAGTTATAAACTTCTCCGTTTGACGTTTAGAATCTTTAACATCTCCTTTTTCTATTTAAAATTGAAAAATATTCAGTTATGCAGATATAATCTCCTTTTAATAAAAAAACATCATTTTGCACTATTGATGGACACCCCGAAATTCAATTGTTCTAGTAATGAACAGAGGGTAGGTACCAGTAATAGAAATACATAAGAAAAATTCTAAAATCTTTATTTAACTATAATTAATATTGGCCAAATTTCGGTCTTGGTCTTGCACTTTGCAAGACCAAGACCAAGACTGGTAAAAAAAAAATCTTTTTGTGAATAACAATTAAGGCATAATAGTTACTAATACTTGGCAATTTTAGTTACTATATGTAAAGAATTGATATAAACAAAATACTGTAGCATTTAACACTTTAAATTCTTTATTCGGGCTTAGTTAGGTCTCTCCTATCTGGAAAATTACATCAATAGCTCTATAGTAATAAACTAATAGGTAACTGCAAGACTGTTGCGAGACTCCTATGCAAGACCAAGACTGGTTGGCCAAGACTAATACTCGTCTGGGCCTCGCATTTGGGCAACACTAACTATAATAATAATATAATTATTGAGTTGCAAAAATTTGTAAATCAAAAAATTAATTTGAATATATGTATATGGATGTGTATTTACTTATTAATAAAAATAGAATAATAAGTAAAAAATAGTAGGTTAAGCGCAGCAGTGATGGGCATAGCTAAGGAAATTTTGTATTTTTTGGCTTATACCGCCGTAATTATTATAGTTAGAAACTTCACCGTTGTACATTTAGAATCTCTAGAGTCTCTCTTTTATATTTAACACTATAAAATTGAATAATATTAAGTTATGCAGGAATAATCTCTATTTAATAAAGAAACATCTTTTTCCACTAGTGATGGACACACCGAAATTCAATTGTTTTAGCAATGGACAGTTAGTCGGTGGCAGTAATAGACATACATCAGAAAAAATATTAAATCTTTATTGCCCAAACTCGGTCTTGGTCTTCCACTTTGCAAGACCAAGACCAAGACTGATAAAAAAAATATTTTTGTGAATAACAATTAAGGCAAAATACTAATACTTGATAATTTTAGTATATGTAAAGAATTGGTATAAACAAAATATTTTTGCATTTAACTCTTCCAATTTTTTATTTGGGCTTAGTTAGGTCTCTCCTGCCTGAAAAATTACAGTAATATCTCTATGGCAAGTAAGTTAATAGGAAAATACAAGACTGTTGCGAGACTTCTGCTTATTTGTGCATAACACTAGCTATAATGATAACGATAAAGATAACATAAATGTTCAACTTACTCTTAGCAAAAGTGTTAGTAGGAAGATATGAAACACATTGATCTCAAGAGCACTATAGAAACAACAGTGAGAGGTTTTTTAAAATTTTCTTTTAGGAACTTTGTTAATAAAGCTGCCAATAGAAGGCATTGGTCTTCAATCTAGAAAACATTGGAACCTTTAAATCAACAAGGAAGCTTATTATTTACATTTAAAGTCTAACCTGTCCATCATTGGGTCCCATGTCCATAACTGGTGTGTTCTGGTGATCCCACTGCGATCGAGAAATTTTTCGTATTTCACTTTGCAATAGTTATAATGTAACTGCAAGAATGATTAGTCCAGAGGGTCATGGGGTTTATATACTCAGGAATAGCAAAAGGGTGAAAGAAAATCGGAAGAGGACTTCAAAGGAAGTTATCGATAATTAATATTCTTAAGATGAGGTCTGTGAGAAAGAGATTTTTGCTGAAATCTGTTATTGTTACCTAAGTCTTGATAATGGGTCTTGTTATGTCCTGTCGGTACTTTCTATAGCTTGACCTGGTTATCTAGGGATATCTTTGTGCTTTATACTTTGAGTTATGAGAATTGTCAATACAATACATGATTCACCAATTGGCATGTTTAACAAACTCAATTATTAAAATGAAAGTTAAATTAATATTATTAAGGAAGGAGATAATCCGGAGTGACAGTCATAAATAGACTAAATAGTACCCAAACTATTTTATTAAAAGCCAACGTTTCTATGCGACTTTGCAGGTCTTCTTCAGGGAGGTGTGTTCAGCAAAGTTTCACTTAGAACTGAATTTTTAATAAAATAGTTTTGCCACTATTTAGCCTATTTATGACCGCCACCCCGGACCATTTCTTCCCTTAATAATGCAACGGTCAACTATTAAATATTCTAAATTATTATTATTATTATTCGTTACGGATTAAGTCCGTTCTGTAACTAATCAAAATACATGTCGGAGGCTCCAAATATCCCAACTAAAGTTAGTATGCATAGCAATTCCTCGATTCCAGATTTTTTTAAAGATAAAGAAAAAAATGTATTAAATTAAGGGGCTATGCGGAGTATGTTCGAATTTGATTATTGCAAAAATATGGATTTCTTTTAAATAAAAACTATTTTGTGTAATGAAAAAATATTTATTTATTTATTACAATTTCATAGTAATCCACAACAGAGGTGATATAAACCGACATATAATCATGGTGGCTTCTAATAAAATTCAAATAACACGTCATATTCTATAGTTTATAGAAAAAAAAACTATCAGAACTAAGTCAGAAAAAGAGGGAATGAAAAATCTTAATTGAGTATAATAGTGAAGAAAAAATTAAATAATATCCAAAAGTAAATAATAAGTTAGGAGTTTATTAATCATATCGATATAGTCTGAATCGATATTAAAATATAAATTATTCATTATCAATCTGAGTTCTAGCGAACCTATACGTAAGATGGCAATATCACATACAGGCTTCCATCCGAATTCACAAGATTGGAGTTGATTTTCCAAGACTTTCCATCAAGATTTTCACTTATCCCTCAGGCGTTTACTTTTCGGTTGAACGCTTATTAACTTTTTTAAAATTCGTTCCACATTCCCTCTAACGTATTTACTTACCAATTTCAATCTCAGCGACACACAGTGAGACGAAACGCCTGATTAAAAAAAAAAAATTATTCGACCTAAAATTTCTTTGAATTTCAATGGGGTTGATATTTCATATACTTTGTTTTATTGAAATCGAATTGTGAAGTACTTTTGATGACAGTAACACAAAAGAAACGATTTTTAAAATATTCTTATTCTAATCTAACTTTATTTTAAATACTAAATTGAAAAAAAAAATATATGATAACAAAAGTTACTAATAAACTTAAATTCAAATCCCTATTCCCTCGCAACTCTGGTTTATACATTTTATAACATTAAATAAAGAAAAAAATTGTTCCATGAAAGAAAATAGAGCTAAGCTATTCATACACACAATTTGTGGACCGCATAAAGTTGATTTCCGTTGAAAACATAGATTTGAAAATTTTCACAATCGCAATACCTTTCCTTAATATATATTATAAGTGTTGAGTTCATTTAAAGTGTAAGGTGTATTCACCAAACTTTTGAAAAAAGTAACCATTTCATAAGGCTGAATGTGCTCTCGAAAGATCTATCAATATACGTGCTTATTTTGTAATTTAAATTGTACTAATTTTACTTCCTGATCCATTAAAATAAAAAATATATTAATAAAAATGCAAAATATAAATTGAGTTAATAATAGTAGACTATAGTATAATAATGGTCCGTGGAATAATTTGCAGAAAATTTTGTTTAGTGAAGGAATAGCAAAACAATATGGAAATAATTAGATTCTATGTATTATGTAAGGGAGGAATTATTACTTTTTCCTTGGTCGATTACAATATTTTATTTAACATAATAGACCAAAATATTTGTACAAGTTGCTTTGCTAGGGCCTATTTTTAAACGCTGACTGAAAAAGTAATATTTCAAAATAAAGCCTCAATCATGGGATATTCTAAATTATTAAAAAATATAAAACCAACAAACTAAAAATTGCCCATAATAGACTATATATCAGCCAGGAAAAAAAGTGTAGTTGTAAATGCAGTATTTTTAAAGAGGAAGAAATTCTTCAGTATACAAAAACTAATAGACTGTATCTTTGTTAATAATTGTCCTATTTTTACAATTTGTTTTTGTATTTTTTAGGTAATTTAGTAATCTTTTAAATTACCATGGGTAGAATCAAGAAAAACGCATACTTTTTGAGTTATTTGCGAATAAAGGTTATTTTCCTTCATGTCTTTTTTCCATAAATTCAGGAGGGATGTGGCTATTTTTCGCATGTGAAGGAGAATAATATCTTCAAAATGAGTGGTCAATCTTTGGATTCGATGAAGAATTGACGAAGTTATGGCGTTGCAACGAAAAAAAACCTTTTTAAAAATAAAATAATAAATATTCAAATTAATAATAGGTAGAATATTTGTGTGTCTATTGAAGCGTAACTAAGGGCAACAGTGGAGTTGACATGGCAACGCCGCGGTACTGCCATCCCTTCGTAATAATTAAACAACAATATATTAAAAATCAAAGTTAGAACTCATTATATTTATTTCACTGTTTGAACTGAATATTTAGGTTTCCATAAATAGTTAACAGAATAGAGTGATATAGTATCATTATATGTTTTATTTAAAATTATTTATGTATAAATAAATAAATATTTTATAATAAAATAGAAGTATTCAAGCCTCAAATTACAATAGAAATTTCCATTCTGCATTTAGCTGCACTTAATCTCGCTAACCAACAGTGCAATTTAATTCCCTTTAAATCAGTTAATTTCTTCCAGTTATTTATAATCTTGAATAAGATACCGAATATTTCTAAAGATAAAACTCAATAGTCTTTAAAACTAAATCATATAAAAGACAAATGTATCAACCAGCATTTTTGAATTAGTTTTAAAATATGAAAAAATATTTTGTAAAGAAAAGAAAAAGAAAATAATATATACTGTCTATAAAATTAAATTAAAAACATATTTCATTTAACAAATCAATGTTTATTAATGTTCAATGATTCAGTTAAAAGTTAACAACCTATTCTCAAATTTTATATTATGTGACCGTATTTAAACATTGTTTATTTGAATATCTTGTTATCTGTCTAAATTGTAAAGAGAATGTTATAATAGAGTGTGTTAAAAAATATATAGTTTAATATATAAAAAGGAAATAAAATAAATTTCTGACCAAATTATATAAAGAGAAATGTGGCTATCAACTTGTATAAATGAATTAATTTTATTTTTAATTAATGTTGTAAAAAGGAATATTTTTATAATGTTATTTAATATATATAACTGTATCACTAATGTCCATAAGCATAGTTTTCTTTTCGGGCAAGTTCCTAAACTCAACGTTAATTCCATCGAGGGATTTCAATGAATAAATAATATCCAGCAGTGATGGAACTAATTGATGAAATCTAGTGCAAGGTTACAAAATAAATTTAAATATATATATATATATATATATATATATATATATATATATATATATATATATACCTATTTTCTAAATAGTTGAATTTCAAAATAAAAATAAATTAAACAAAAACATGTAAACTGAATAGAAATTTGTAAAGTAAACTGAGAAACAACAAAATTGAGGTTATACTGAGGTTAAATTCACCGATTCCATCGACCCCAAAAGCCCATGGAAACGGTGATACATCGGTAAGTAAATCGTTGCATAAAGGAGCCCGCTGAATTCCATGTAAGATCATTGTATTAGGAACAATTAGATGGATTTCTGAAGTCATCGATAAGCTTAGTGCTGATTTTAGAAACTTGTCGTTCACTTTTTCCAACTACTATTAATAATAATAGTATATTGGTTAGTGGACAATTGGCAATATAATATGTAAATATGTTAACGCGATGTATTATCAGATAGTGGAAATGATTTTATTTTTCTCAGTCGAATCACATTAGTTAATTAGTTACTATAGGCTTTATCTTTACTAATAATTATTATAAATCGGATCTGATTTCGATGATATTTTTTTATTTGGCTTAGTAGACAATTAAGTAATCTTTCAAATAATTATAGGCAAATTTTATCCTACCTTATGGATAGATGGGATGTTATTTAAGTTATCACACTGATAATGATATTGTTCGAAATAAATAAAAAGTTGAATGAGAATGAAGCCTAGATGAAATTTTCAGACATTTTTTTTCGATTGCATCTAAAAATTCTTATTTCAGGCTTTTACTAGATGTGGAACACAAATTTCAACTTTGTTTCTCCTTAAAAAAATATTTGAATCCACTTTACTCCTTCGATCGGTAAAAATTATTTCAATATTGTTCTCATATTAATCATAACCAATTTGTCCCGTCCGTTTCCATCTACGACATACCACCAGATCTAATATTAAATCCTAGCGAAATGTTTATATTGATTTTATTTATTTTAGAAAAACATAACAAAAGGAGTGAGTACGATTCGCTAATTCCCTGTGAAATTCTGAATCCCATTCGTGGCATTTGAGCATGATTAGAAAATTTTCACGATAACAATACTTACTATATATTACACCACTATCATAAAAAGCCTATTTCAATAATAAATTATGTGCAGTTAGGTATCTTAAATACATAATTTGAGTTTCTTTTTGAGCTGTGCTGATAACACGCAAAGACTATTTTACGAGATTTATATTCAAACTATTTTTTACGATCTTAATAATTTTACTTACTGTATATTTCACATTTGGGTAACTGAAAGTAAAGACCAGTTTTTACCTAGTTTAAACTATTGAACAATATAGACTTGTATAAACAATGTTTTATTTTTTTGTTTGTTTTTAGAGTCCTGCTGCGGAAAGAAACTTTTATCAACACAACCAGCTCTGATGATCTTACCACATCCAAAAGAAGGTTGATAAGATTTTTAAATTTATTTTATTAATTTGGTATATATAAGTCAGTTTATATATATATGTAAGAGTCAGTATATATAAGTATATAACAGTCAGTATAAATAAATAATATTTATTTATAGTTTCAGAAAGAAGTAATGAAAATGCAGCGACCGAACCGATGATACTCATACCAACTCGTGTTGACCATACTCAGGGTGAAGATAATTTTATTTTTATTTATATATAATTATTTTATTTAGAAAAGAATTACAAGAAAATATTTATTTATATTTACAAAAAAAAAAACAAAAAAAACGTGGCAACATCAATAAGGTCGTATTTACACTTGAGTCGTGGATGGATCGATCGAATATACTTTTAGGTGGAAACCATTTTATCATTAAAGTTCGCAATATTGCTTTATATTTTACCGTTGTTATTTTTAACTTATCACTAAATACACAAACCCACAAACATATATTTAACTTAATTCTACCAATTTCCAAATTTTCGTTATGTAAATAATTAAATATTAATTAATTCTAGAATCGGTTAATAAATATCATGCAATCAACGATATGCATAATATAGTTCAGAGAGCTGTTTCACACCATATTTACAGAAAAATAAATAAATAAAGTAATGACAATATAATAAACAGAAATAAGAACAAAATAAAATGTCATGAGGAGAAAAAAAAAAATACATCCGCTATCCGCCCAACAGCGGACCAACCCCCATTTTGCAAATTATACAACTGTTCATTTAATTAAGTAAGGAGATGGTCCGGAGGGCGATAATAAAAATAGTAAAATAGTGAGAAAACTATTTTAGTTTTTATATTTTTTATTTCTCACTATTTTAGTCTTTTTATGACCGCCATCCCGGACCATGTCATTACTTAATTAAATTAACAGTTGTATAATTTGCAAAATGGGGGTCGGTCCGCTGTTGGGCGGATCTCCTTACTTAATAATATACCAACGCTCATTTAATTAGACTACACTTTGCTCAAATTATATAAGTTTAATTTTGATAATTGTGGATTTATGGTTGACTATGGTGAATAATTGAAGATAAGAATGGTTGGGGTGATTAGTAAAAAAAATATAGTAACAATAAATAATTATATTTATTTTTTCCAACGTTTCGGCCCAAAGCTCAAGCCTTCATCAGGGCTAAGAAAAAAAACAGATACCAATAGGAATGAGAAATTATGACAGAATAATAAAGAATTAAAAATAAAAATCTGAAAGATATAGACTAAAAAATGTAGGTAGAATGAACTTAAATGTCAATTTTTTTTTTTGGTTTATTTTTTTATTCACACCTGACAATAAAATTATTGTTTTAAATAATAATTTTAATTTCTGAGTAATTCAATGGATATTTTTAATTTCTGGATAATAATTTTTAATAATAATTAATTTTTTAAATAATTAAGTTTATTTTACCTACATTTTTTAAAGCTATACCTTTCACATTTTTATTTTTAATTCTTTATTATTCTTAGTTTATAGTTTCTCATACCTATTCTTATCTGTTTTTTTCTTAACCCTGATGAAGACAGGAACTTTGGGCCGAAACGTCGGCAAAAATAAAAATAAATATAATTATTTATTTTTACAATTTTCATGTTTTCTGTAGTTCATATTGTATTATTTTTTATCAATATGAAATAAATGAACTAAGCCACAGTATTGACAAATTTTTAATATCTTTCGAAATATATATTATACATCCCGCATTACTGACAATTTATATTATTATATAATTATAATTATTCTTATTTCCAATTGTAACCATAAAATATATTCAACTTATTGATTTTCATTTGAGCCCAACAATAATTTGAATTTTTTATTTCAAATATTTTCATTGTACATTATATCGTGCTTTCTTTTCTATTTAATAATAATTATAAATTATATCATAATGTAATATAAATAATTTTACGTATAATATAATAATTAAAATATTGTATTCAAAGGGGAAATATCTAGATAGAAAAATATCTGCTGTCATCTAGATAAAATCAAGCTACCACTCCATATGAATACCAGTTCCCCTAAAAATTTTCATTCTAAAATATTTATTTTGTATTAGGAGTGTAGAAAATGAAAAGAACTCAACAAATATGTAATGAAATGAACAACTGTATAATTTTTGAAAATAATCTACTAATAAGTTGAGCTCTTGTTATCTCCTACTCTCCTGGTAATAAAATAAAATATGAAAGCCACTACCAACTTTTTTTATATAATAGAGAGATAAATTTTAACATGGCTTCTATGCTATGAGTAAGTGTGATAACTATAAACTAATGCTATTCTAAAAAAAATAGGTCTAATTATAATAACGAATTAATATAAGTTCAGAGACAGCTGTGTCTTATTTTGTTAAACTATTAAACGGGACATATATTTTCCAGTAGGATAACCTAATCAGTTATTAAATACATTTTTACTATAACAGTCGGAATCATCGTTCGGAAAGGTGCAATGTTATTCTGACCATATAAGACAAAAATGGCAATTTAACTAATCATAAAATATTTATTTAATTTGAATAAAGATCTAAATAATATTTATTTAATTGTTTTAATTATTTAATTTTCAAAATTAATAATACTACTTTATTTATATTCAGACGAAAAGGAGAACGAGATAGAGGAAGAGACCTTAGAGAAGGAAGAAGCCAAAGCAGAAGAAGAGGATTCGTCGATGGACGTATGCAGATGTTCTGAAAACGAACTGTTACAAGACAATAACCACATAAAGAAAGATCTGAATTGTCACTGCTTCAAGAAAAAAAATAACAGTTTGGGACAAGGTTTAGAAATAGGTGTAATCAAAAACGATAATTCCTTAAAACTCGAAGATCATCATACCCCAGAAGTGAAAAAACAGAATTGGAAACGAGCGATAAACATCAGACAGAGGTTACCGACGTTAGAAGATAAATTGTTGGCAATGGATTATGTCACGATTTTGGACAAAGCAATGGGATATCCATACACGAAGAATCCAGATTTTGAAGTTGACGAACCATACAACAGTCCCTGGAGGAGATATACACTGCAATCTATGGAGCCATCTCGTCTATGTCAGACTTATTATAGTTGATTCTAGAACAGCAGTCTGATATAGTTTATAATTATTAAATATTTATAATATATATTTATTTAAAATTACTTATAACCAATTAAACTAAATTATGAAGTTTAACATGAGTTCTTAAGAATAAAATATTTCTGTATATTACATCATACGAAAGTATGTTTAAGGTAAATGTAATAATAATAAGACACTGTACTATTAAAACAGTTTTAAACTCATTAACAAATGATAAGCTTTATACTGCTTACGGTACTGCCCACGGCAGCGACTGCTGGCAGTCGAGAACTGCTTAAGTGGAATAGGAAGGAACCTATTTCGATGGCACTGCCCGGCAGTCTATGACGTCATATCTAAGCTGCTCCTATCTGACGGTTGGCAGCGGGGAGGTTACAGGTTATGTTATCATATCGGAGTACTGTTTTGATGATAACAGTCACCTTTACACGTTTTATTTATTTATTTTTTTCATCAAATCAGCCAGAATTGAATGAAATATTATTTAACATTTAAACAAAGCTATAATAAATTATCAATATAATAAGATTATCTGTTTATTTATTCCACCAAAAGTATTTTACTGAGAAATTCAAATATAACTAAATCCAAATGACATTAAATAATTAAAAAAAAAATTAACTTCAGGTAAATAATCAAATCCAGATATTGAAAAATCAATTTGTATTCTTTAATTAAAGTGCCGATTTACTGATTACCTGTTAATAAAACGGTAAAATATTGCCTTCTGTGATTTCATTACATATATATGATATTTATTACTAATCAGTTATGTAATAATTACTGTTATTTATTTTTTTATTTATTTATTAGACATATAATATTCTTTCACAGGGACAATAATTATATTGATAAATGAACACATTCACACCGTGCTGTTATTTATCAAACTAATAATTAGAAATAAATTTAAAATCGGAAATAAATCCTCAGTTCTTAAAATAATGCTTTATCATCTTATTAATACCATGAATACTTATATTTTATACAAGAAAAAAAAATACAAGAAACAATAATTTTTTAGACGGTAGGAATTAATATGTAGATAATTGTTATCATTTCATAGTACAGACATAACCTAACCTTGTTATTCAAATTTAACTACCAGAAAAAAATGGCATGTATTAATTAAATAAGATGGAAACTCCGCCATCAAATCTATTTTGTTATCCTTCCGATACAAATAAAAACCATTAAATGTAAGACTAACATTTTTATTTAAAATTATATATCTAACAAGGAAGCTAAATTGATAAGATTTGGCCGCGACGGTGGGCAGTTTCAACGAAATAGACAAGCATGAAACGGTTGGCAGCGTGAAGTAGCAGTCGCTGCCGTGGGCAGTTACCAGCAGAATAATATCTTTTGTGAGAATGTTGCCTAAATCTCAGGTGATATTCCACAATAGCCGATTGGTTTAGTGTTTCATGGAGGTAATTTTGATCTATTCATCTATAGTTTGCCATTTCTTACTTACGAATGTTATTTTAGATTGTTTTAATCATATAAAAAATCTATTGATCCAAAAATCTGAATGTCTATTGCTGGTGTAATATAAACAGTCAGAATTTACATGTTTTTTTCATGAAAAATTAAATAATTGACTGTATAGAAAAAAATGAAATCGATAAAATAATAAATTTACCAACAGTTAAACACATTTGCATAGATCAAACTTCAGAACTAAAACACACTTACATTTAGCTTATTTATTATTTATCTTGTTTTATTCACATAATATTTGAGTTGAAAAACATTAAATTTACTCAGTTTAAAACATAATTATAATTAGAAGAAATAATCTATAATAATATGTAAAAAATGGAGGTTTCAAGTCTTGTAAAAGAATACTGAATTTAACTTGACGAGTTTTATAAATGGTGTGGTAATAATCACATTTGGGGAATCAAAATCAATATTATAGACTATTTGATATTTAAAAAGACTACAAACTCTTATGGTATTGAAAACATTGTTTCCTCACAATTAATCTTTTTTTCTAAAAATGGAAGTTTTTATTTTAAGTAAGTTTCTAGTTTAAATCATAATTAAAGTGAAACCATGGTAATTATAATGGAAGACAAACAGCTGACATTGCTTATGAACAGCTGATTGCCTCCAAAGACAAAATAATTTTTATGTTACGAAAATAAAAACTGTTCACATTTATTTTGAATTTATTTAAATATCTTAACTCATGTTAAAATCTAAAATTGTGTAATTTTGTTTATTTTATGTTTGTAGTTGATAAGCATTCTCTGTATTTAATTTATTGATTATGTATTTAAAAATTGTTTATTAAATTTTATATTAAAATGATTATTTTTTTTATTGAAACCCGCTCTTCTACTTTCAAATATAAATAGAATCCGATAAAAAGTTTTTATGAATGAAATAATTTTTAAAAAAATCGGCTGATCAATTCTAATGATCTTTCGGAAATAAGCTGTGAAATATTTCTAAAATAATATCTCGTTTGATACAATTGGTTATAATAATTAACTAGATTCACAACGCATTTACAAAAAAAAAAGAATATATAAATTAAATTACAACAAATTAATAGATATACGAATAAAGAAAATTAAAGTTAAATTCTTTTAAGCATATTAAAATTGCGAATATTCTCTGTGCTAGAAATTTTCAATTAAGGTTGCATACTACGTTGGAACGAAAAACATTAACATTTTTATTTATATGTAAAAACCTCTTCGTAAAAACCGGTTTTCGTTTACATATCCTAAAGAAACAGGTGATAACTGAGAGAGTTTATTGGTACCAAAAGTGGTTAGAATTCGAGGATAGTTGTAAAATTAATCTTGATATTGCAAATATCGCTGATCTGCGAGGAAAATTGACTGTTGTTAGACATAGGGTAGATGACGTAGAAAAACAAAATAACCTTCAAAAATGTCTTCATTCGAGTTTTTCTATTTACTCAGGAATATTTTTAGTGGGTACTGTTACACTATATCTTAATGATAGCTTTGATATTGTGACTATAGGGTCATTTTTTCGATGTACGACAGAGTTGCTCGATTTAATCGTAAAACCATGGATGGTGGGGGACAACGATTGCTGTCCGGTATGGAACTCTCAAGAAAAAGAGAATATCATTCACTTATTGGGGACTTGTCACATGTACAGTGAGATACGAGAGAAATGTTTTGGGCAGCTGACCTGTTCTCCGGAAGAATTATTTGGTTTCTTAAAGGGTTCTAACTGGAAAGCCTTAAGCAATTATGTACAGCAGGCCACATTACAAAGATCTCAATTAGTCAGATAGTAAACTATTGGTATAATATAGTGTTTATTTATCTTAACGTTTGTTATATTGTTATATTGTATTTACAAGGCATTAATGTTTCTTTTTGGTTTATTATTTTCAATAATCAACCATTGTGATCGATCAAAAAATTCAAAAATTTAACCCTCTCTCAAAATTTGAGGTTTCACTTATCAGGATGCGTAGAATTCGAAAAAAGAATAAAAATTTTTTTGTCCGTCCGCGCATTTTCTCCGAAACAACTGGATCGATTTTTTTTTCAAATTTTGATATAAAATCAGAGGTCACCCGAGGATGATCCTCCTTCATCGACATTACCATCCGCCTTTTACTTTCCAAATGGCGGCCGAAAAACCTGCGTTGCTACAAACTATAGCTCTTAAACGAATGGACCGATCTCAATGAAACTTCGCTAAAGTCACTTTCTTGACGCCCTTTAAATTTATCTATATAACATACTTCAACGAAAAGAAGCTGGAAAAAAAGGTACGAGGTAAAATTAAATTCCGAATAACTCAAAAAGTTTACACGTTTTTGTCGATAATGTGACAAGATGTCCTTACAAAATGAAGGAAATTTCATCGAAATCAAAGCACTATTAGTAAAGATATCGCGATTTTTAAATATTTTTGGTTTATTATTTTCAATCATCAACCATTGTGATCGACCAAAAAATTCAAAAACTTAACCCCCCCCCTCAATATTTGAGGTTTCACGTTTTTAAAACTGTATTTAAACAAATGAAACAGTGAACGAAGAAACTGTTAGAATGTAGGTATAAATATATAATAATACTGTAAATATATTATTACTCATTTATTTTAGTAATAAATGTAATGAATATTTATTATTAATTACACACAGACAGGTGGAATTTTCCATTGTCTATGTGTTGTTATCCTCTCACGGAACCTCAAGATATTAACAAAGAATAATTAAATTTCGTATAGTTTTGTTGATGTAAAAAGACACCTTTTAAATGCTATAAGAAAGGTTTTCGTTTCTCCCTATTATACAATGACATGCTAATAAAGCCACTTATATCTAGTATGCCTCGTAGTATTCTAACAACAAACCTGAAGGCACAAAACATTGACAATTCTATTGAAAATCATCTATGTTTGCTTGCCCTAGGTATATTAATATATTTGTTCTAAATTTAGAAAGGAGTGAATGAACTGTGAAAGGTGAAACTGTAATCAAAAACCCATTTAACAATTATATTCCTCAGTTATTTTATAAGAGATGTGAGCTTAATGGAACACTAGGAATGGTCCAGAACCCATTGAGAAGTTATAACAACTTTCTCGAAGAGGAGAGGTGGAGGGAGGAAAATAAGTTTGATTGATAAAAGTATTAGCCGAGGGAGTAAAAAGTTCGGAAGAGGAATATCGAAGTTTAAAGGTCAGTCTAAAAGCTAATAGAAAGGAAGTTCTGTTAGAGAAGAATTGCGGTTTAATTTATTTAATAGAATCCACGCTAGTAGATTTTTTCCTGTAGCCTTTAATAAAGAGTTCACTGTAACGAACGTTATTATAAAAATAACATTTAACACAGTACATAAAAAAAAAACAAAAAAACAAAACAAGTTGTGTGCTTTAGACCATACTTTAGACCATAGAAAATCCAAACTTTCTATTGAAAACAAATTACTTATCTACAAGACAATACTGAAACCTATATGGACATACGGACTTGAACTGTGGGGGACAGCAAAAGCTTCTAACATCGAACGTATTCAA